TAATTTTAAAAGATGTGATAAAATTTAATTGTAAATCAAATAACAAAAACATAAAAATTAATAAATAAATTATATTCTTCTCGATCAATGGTTTTTGCAGTAACATTCTTACTTTGATTTTATTTATGTTAACAGAAATCTAATTTTCTTCACCACAATTAAATATTTTATTTTCTATAGATTTATAAAAGATTAAATCACAAACCCGCAAATATGCGGGTCCTTCATCTAGTTTTTAATATTTTTTTAATATATACGGGGCATTGATGACAAAAATATATACTTGCTAAATCCATAACCCGGAAACTCAAAGCGGTTCAATTAGTAGTATTTTGGTCAGTGATAAATTTGAGTTTAACAACATTTTATAGAGCTGTTGAAAAACATTTTTTTTTTGTAAATATAAGATGTTGATTACTCGATTACATTATTTGTCATACATTATAAGATGATGTTTCAATTTTATTTTTATTTTTTTGTATACACTTAAACGCAAGATCTATCATATTAAAGTATTCAAGATTCGAAAACCGATCGGATAATTTTTTTTGTTTAAATGTGATATTGATTAGACAAAAAAAAGATACTTACAGTATTTTTCTAAAGAAAGCACAAAGACAGAGCAAGCAAAATAATTCAGAAAAACAGAGCATCAAAGAGCAACTGCTAGACTTTGGCAAAGATTAGAAGGCGCATACACTATTACATCGGTCTAGAATACCGTCTTCGGTGGGAGCCTCGCGATCTTGTCGAAGAGATAAGATAAGATTAGTGATATCATTGTTAATCAAGCAAGCGAGATGTGAGGGAGAAATGTGGTGTCGTTGATGGCGCCGACTATTTCTCTCTCTCCATATTCCCATATATCGATGTTTGAAAGGCCATACGTACTAATAGAGAGTCGGTTTTGTTGAGCCCGTTTCGAAAGAGAGAGTTTATCGTGAGCTGCCAGTCCGGATTGAGCCTCGATCGAAGGAGTGTTACACATAACATAGACTGATCAGATAATTTTTAGTGGACGTAATTATTTATCTAATATATTTTGGTATGTGTGATTCAAAACAATATATTTTTTACTATGCAATAAACTGAAATTTATACTCCCCGCTTAGCCTGGATCAA